AAAGAGTGGGAAGAAGTTTGGATCGATGGCAGCCCAATTCAATCTCCCACTTCACTCTCTCCACATTTTACAGAAAAAATTGTCATGAATAGAGGGAGCAAAAGGGCTTTTGAGAACGATATGGTAGGAAGTTCAAAGAGTCAGAAGAATGAATCCTCTAGAAAGGGAGGTGTTGCAATGCTGATGGAGAAACTTGATACTATGGTAAAAGTTATTACTGAGAGAAACGCTAAGGATATGGAGATAATGAATCTTGAAGCAAGTACCCGTGTTGACTCTTCCAGTTCACTTGCCGACACTCTTGCAAAGCTAGTGTCCATGACTGACTTGATTCCTGGGAGCCCTGAATTTTGTTTTGCTTGCAGCTTGATCGAAGATCCCCAAAAAAGGATAATTTTTAATGGCATACCAGATGATTACTCAAGACTCCAGTGGATAAAATTTTTGTATGCGAAGGCGGAGAAGAATGAGTGAATATTTTTATTATTGTCTTGTCAGTATTTTTACTAGACATCTATTTAATATCTAGCATATTGAATATTCTTGTCTATTCGACTTTGTTGCTACTTGCATTTGTTAGACTTTAAATGCAATGAGAACTATGTTGTTATTTGGATGTTGCACTATTTTATTATGAATAGAGTATGTTGTTTTGATCATATACATGATTGTAAATTATTTTTTTGTTGTTGTTTATAGGTATGGATTTGAGGGCCAAACCTAATGCAATACGTAAGAGGGACAGAGATAGTTTGTTTTACGACTCAGTGGCTTGTGTGATGGGTTATATCACTCTCTATTATGCTAAGTACATACACAAAGAGCCATGTTTTACTTCATTTATGACAGGTGAAAAATGGATGCATGAAATATTGAATGGACATGAAAAACGTTGTTTTCACATGTTTCGAATGTCCAATAGCACATTTAGAGCATTGGTCATAGACTTAGAAAGTAAGTATGGGTTGCACCCTTCAGAAAGAACATCAACTTTAGAGAAAGTAGGAATATTTATATTTATTCTATGTATAGGAGCCTCAAACCGTGAAGCCCAATAGAGATTTCAGCATTCTGGTGAAACTATAAGTAGAATTTTTAAAGAAGTTCTGGATTCCATGGATGGCTTGTCAAGGGATATAATAAGACCTAGGGATTCTGAGTTCAAAGAAGTTCCATTGCAAATTGCCAATGATACTCGATATATGCCACATTTTAAGGTATTTTACTTATTACATGTTATCTTTGTGTTTACATTAAAAATAAATAATAGTCATCTAGAAAATGATATTTTTTTATTAGAACTGCATTGGAGCTATTGATGGTACACATATAGATGTTATTATACCTGAGGAGGATCAATTGCGATATAGAGGGAGGAAAGGGACTACTACTCTCAATGTCATGGCAGCATGTGACTTTGATTTACTTTTTACGTACGTTCTTACTGGTTGGGAAGGATCCGCTCATGATTCTCGAATTTTTCTGGATACAATTACCAATTTAGACCTTAATTTCCCAAAACCTCCTACAGGTAATTTTTTTATTATTAATGTATCGTTTAATTTTTTATCCATTACCATGTATCCTTTTCGCTTTTAACTTAACAAATTGTTTGTCAATATTCTTATACATAGGTAAATACTATTTAGTAGACAAAGGTTATCCTGAAAGAGAAGGGTATTTGACACCCTACCATAAGACAAGATATCATCAAACAGAGTTTCGAGGTGCAAATCCAAGAGGGTCTCAAGAAATTTTCAATCGAGCTCATTCATCCTTACGGAGTTGTATTGAGAGAGCTTTTGGCATTTTAAAGGCACGCTGGAAGATATTAGTTAAATTACCAAAATATTCACCTCGAGATCAAAACAGAATAATTTGCTCAACATTTGCATTGCATAATTACATTAGGATGAGCAAAATTCCTGATCCAGCATTTATGATCATTGATAAAAATATAAATTTTATTCCTCCAGAAGTGTTAGCGGATGTTGGCCGTATTTCCCCGCAGGTCTCGAACACAAGTACTAAGGAGATGACAAAAGTTCGAAATGATATTACTGCTAGTTTGATGGCAACTAGACAACCTAGACGTCGTCGTGCTGCTTAATCAGTTGAATTATTTGTTTGAATAGACATGATTATGAGATTTTTGTACTTTCAAATGCTTGAAAACTTTGTAATTATGCTCGTGAAATCATTTACTTGGAACTTTTTAGTTTGTATTTTTTATTTTATAATCTACATTGGTTTATGGTGCTAATAAATAATAATAATATGTCATCCATAATAATAATTCATAACTTCTTCATCAAGTGTTAGTAAATTTTTTTTAAAAAAAA